CAAATTTAAGGGTTAAAAATTTTTTTTAATTTTAGGGTTTTTTTTTTTTTTTTTTTTTGTTTTTAATGGTTTTTTTTTTTTTTTTTTTTTTTACATTTTCAATCCCAAGAATAGAATGCGTCAAAACTCCAATGCCGTTAAAAAAAAATAGCTTTTACTGATTTAAGAGGTGGGTGGCTTTTGCTTTTATTCAAATAAATCTGATTTTATGTAAGAGGCTACAATTACAGGCGGAATATGATTAGAAATAACACACAAACCCAGTGATGACAGACACTGTCAGCGCTACAGTTAACTCAGGCCTGCGTGTTTCCAATATTTTTCCACATTTGGAGTAGTCACCCAGCAGTTATTTGAGACAGACATTTCATGCTCTTTTCTTCATGTATTTATTTTGTAAATGTTTCAAATATGCACACAATACACCCTCTAATACACCAATATTCAAGCATGCATGCCTTCCTCCTATATCTGCTGTTGTGGTCATGTGGTGCGGTTTCAAGGCCATGTCCTTGTGTGTGTTAACGGCCACCCTGAAAGACAACTCATCACTAACACACTCTCACTTGTTTACATGGGTTAGGTGTGTAAGTGTGTGTGGAACTTTCTTCTGTCTAAATCCTTGGTGATGGATATTAAGTGTGTGTGTGTAGGTGTTGCGCTGTAGGAAGTTGTCTTCCTGACCTGTAGTTGATGGCAGTATGACTTTTAATAGCGCATTGAGGCCTAATTATAGTTCTGTGGCTCACGTAGCTCCACTGCTTTATGGCCATGCACGTGTCGGTGTGTTTTGTGAGTTAGGGCTTTGTAAATTCAACATCCTGCCATTCCTATTGAACACACACACACATATGTGTGCACGTTTACACTTAAACTCAGGTGTGTTTGCGTGTGTGCGTGGATGTGGAGGTGTTAATCGAGATATCAGATTCAACCAAGGGGGGGAGCACACCTTACAGAACAAAATGAGAACAGGACTGAAATAAAACAGAACAACTCCAGTCATCCAGGGTTTGTGTCAGCTGCTGCAATACAGAATATAAATCTAAACATTATTTTCTCTCATCTCACAATAGTTTTTTCTGCAAAGTTAACTCCTGAAGGCAGTTGTTAGCACTGGATTTTACTGTGGTATCAGAATAAAGGAAGATAAATACTTGGGGTGCACCGATTGGAGTTTTCTGACCGGTCACCAATTACCAATCTTTTAAAAGCTTAACTTGCTGATTCCAGTTTTGGCTGATACAGGTTTTTTTTTTTTTTTTTTTTTTTCTGAAATGTTGCTGAATATTGCAAAAAAAGTCGCTGAGTTAGCAACAGTGAGGGGACTATTATTAACTGCAAATGTGTAGACCTTACACATGTGAGTATCAGCCAATTAGCGATCTCCCAAAAATAATCAGGCCCAATTTATCGGCTGTCCGATTTATCATGTAACACTACTAAGTGCAGATGCACTTCATACTTTTCTGACTTTCATTTGTAAAAAAATGAAAAATCAAGTATTGTTCCTTACAATTTATCATAATAAATACTTTGTGTTGGTCTATCACAGTACAGTGAAGTTTGTGTTTGTAATGTTACACAGCATGAAAAGTTTAATGTATATGAATCCTGTTGCCATGTTTGGAAAATGCTCCTACATAGATACCGATATTTCAGAGGAATTTGACAAGTTAAACTTTTTAAATTCAAAATAGGAAGTAAAAAAAAAAAAAAAAAAATCCTAATTTTGTAAATCAATAAGAATTTGAATACTTCCTTTCAATGATAACGTTGGCAGTGAAAGCAAAATGTTCCTTTGAGTTTATGTACAGGATAGAGAAAATTGTTACTTTTGACCTGGTGATATATTCCGGGTAGAAGTTATTTACAGTAAAAGCTTTGGACTAAACAGCCTTTTTGACACTTTTCAAAAGTTAGTCTTTGAATTTTATGTTGCTTTTTTTCCTGTAGTAGGAGTTTAAGCCGTCTTCTGTGTGTTGTTCCCTCCTCTCTCCATCAGGTCACCATTCCTTGTGCATCCAGTCTATGGATGGGATGTTGATGTTCTTTGAGCAGGACAGCTACTCTTTTGGCAGGTTCCTTCCTGGCTTTCTGCTGCCCGGTCCGCTGGTCTACAGTCCCAGAACCGACAGCTTCCTCACCGTGTCTTCTGCACGCCAGCTTGAAGGCTACAAGTAGGTTTATTCTAAAAAACAACTGTGATGCATCTGCTGGCAACAGTTTTTTTCTGGAAATCTAATTAGTGAATAAATCCACCTCTTTATATACAGAAATGACCTGTAACTGACAAATATTTGCCATCTTAAACATTGAGGTTAAACAATTTCATAACTACTCAAATATTCTTGTAATAGAGAAAGTCATGGCTAATATTATAAGCTTCGCCTTCCGTGAGGTCATTTATTATTACTGTAAAACATCACTGAGCAGATCAGAACAGAAACATACACAAACCTGTATTTGTAAGCACACAAGCTTAGTTTGCTTGCTGGTTTAAGACATAAAATCCCAAATTAAACCTGATCCCACTGAATAAAAATACATACTGCTATAGATGAACACAGCTTTTTCTCTCCACTGCATTTCAAATTTGCTTTAAAAGACTTAAACCATAATAAGTGAAACACTGACCAACAGTTTGTCATATAATGATGGCACTTCATAAAATGTAAAGTTTACTGATTTTCTAAATTGTTGAATGGGTAGTGTCTAATATGACTTTGTAATTTTGTATTTTTATAATGTAAAGCACTTTGAATTGCCTTGTTGCAAATGTGCTATACAAATAAACTTGACTGATTGATTATGAAAAATAATGGCACTATAGTGGAATAAAGCTAATGGCTATTAGATTGCAAATAAATTTGTTGGGAAATAAAATTTTCTGCTTTTTAAAGCGCATTACTTTGATTTTAAAGTCAAATTATCATTTAATAAAATCAAAGTGGACTAAGCTGAGGAAATTACCAGTCTCTATATGTATCAAACAAGTATACATGTTTAGTGTTATGCGGAATATAATTCAGTCACTCATACAGTGGTATGCCTGTGAATTCACTAAGTCTTTCTGTAAACATCTAGAATGCCTGCCCTGACACATTTTATATATTTCGATTTTTTTTCTCCAAGTAGTGCTCACAGCATGATGAAAATGTTTCTTTACTGGCAGTCATCCATAAAGCTCATTAGTTTCCTGCTGGTCGTTGCAGAGGCTAAGCAGAGGCCGCTACTGAATGGATGAGTAGAAACAATAAATCATGTGTTTTACTGCAAAAATCTAACTTTAGGATTCTTTTTTATTACATTTGACCCTTGTGAAAAAGGAATAAAGTTTTATACATGTTTCTCAATGTGTTTTTCTAAATTCCAGTTATAAAATTTGATTATCAAGGAACTTGTGGGTACTGCTGAAACATTGATCCAGTTTGGTTCGAGAGAAATACAGGTTCCTCCTGACCACAAATACTGGTCATAAATTCAGAGTGAACTTTTGTATTTATGCTTTCAATTTTGATGAGAAAAAACTGTCAGCATTGGAGGCAGCATTGGAATTTTGTTGTAATTTTTGTTGTATGGAAGAACTCAATGTTATCTTGTAATATTGTCATAAAATCTTTATGATATTACGATATGCTCATAATATATCACTAAAATAAAAAAAAATAAAAAAAAGTAAAACATGCAGAGCCCATGAGGTGATGCACTGGATGCCTTTATAGAGCAAGACTGCTGTTATATAAGATGGGTTTTAAACCTGTCTGCTTCGATTAATACCAGTTTTATGGTCCAAAGATATTTTTCAGTATGATAACACAGAGTGGCTAGGTCAGCAGGTATTTAGTGTTTGGTCTGTGGTTCGGAGTCATACTGGGTTACGTTTAGAGCGCTGTTCATTCACGTGTCGGTGAAGAAAGATATATTCCCTCCAAGCTGCTTCGTCTGCCAGCCTCTTACTGGAAAACGGCTAACACTACAAATGCCAAAGTCAACTGACCACAGATCAGCTTGACCACTTAATTTTTTGCCAGGTGTATACTGTTCACTGACTAAAACTGATTGACTGCCATTTCCTGAAAAAGGTGGGTCATTACAGTGTTGACTGATTTAAGAGAGGCTGTGAAGAAGGGGGAAATATTTTTAAACATGCTTTATGATATTTAACATTTGAATATTAACCAACAGTGAAAGGAGAATGTTAGCTGGAATTAAAATCCAAGTTAGAAGTAGGAAAGCAAAGCTACAATAAAAGGTAAAACTGAAAATTTAAATGCAGTGCTGGATAACCTGTGTTGATTTTACCATATTATGATTAAAATGTTAGATTGATACAAAAGAGCAGTTGAGAAAAACAGAAAATCACCCTGACAGTACTTGAACAGGATTTTAGAAATGGTATCACTGTTTCTGTCAGTAACTGTTTGTTTCATTTTGACTCTCAGGTATGAGACTCTGGCCGTTGCTACAGATGCAGAGAGTCGACAGGATTCTGATTTACTTCCTAAAACTGGGGGCAAGAGGCTGACGGTGAGTCTTAAATTCACATACAGATAGACAGAAGTCCAGGGTGAGCTTGGTTGATTGTCAACACATATGAATAGCAACATTTTTGAGTCTCTGCTAAAAAAACAACAACAAAAAATTAACCTTAAATGCATTTTCTGCACATTTGATATCTAAATAGAAAGTTTTATACACTTTGCTGAACAGAGTTGTTAGTTGTAGCAGTCTGCATCTTAACAATGTAGAGTAAAAAGGTATCTATATCTTCTCATATGTCCACTGAACATGATATGTTTAGCATAAATATACCCAAGTGCAATTGATCTGCTATCCTGGTTTCTGTTGCTCTTTAAATTTCACCATTATATCCTCGATTTCTTTAATTGTTGAGGTTGATGACAGCTTTATCTGTTATTACCTCTTGGTTGCTTAACTATTAACCACATGCATTTGATTAAAAGTACATGTAGTGCAGAAGTATGTGAAATTATGCTTCAGTCATATAGATCCTGTGTAAGTTATCTTGTTTGTGTCTCATAGTCGCAATATGTAACAAAAATGATGCAAGTCTTTCAAGCTATTTGAAGGCTTGTTCAAGTAGTGATTATTCATAATTTACAGTAATTTAAAGTTGAAGAATAGTACAATATTAATTCTAATGGTCTGCTTTAATTTTGTGTGTCTCTCTGCAGCCTGACTGGACATTTGTCCTGGGAGAACAGGCCCTGGACATATCAGTACCCTCATTCTCCCATTCCTCGTCCTCCATCCTTGTGCTGGGCGAGAGGAACCTCTTCTGTCTTCGTGATAACGGACAGATACGCTTCATGAAGAAACTAGAATTTAATCCCAGCTGTTTCCTACCCTATATCTCAGGTAAGCTGGAGAGAAATTGGCACAGAAACTACAGCTTTTCTCTTCTGAACAGAAGAGTTTCATTGCCAGACTCTTTGTTTGCTTTTACCTCACAAGATGCTTTGGACTGTGATATTTATTGACTTTGTTGGGAAGATTTCCACATGGCTGGAGTTTGTATTGTCAACAATAACTAGATTAAATATTTTCAGCAGGTGGATATTAACAGTGTGTCTACTTGAGCTGCCACCAAATATTCAGTAGCAAATCAAACAGTCACACTGTCTTAAACATTTGCTCATAGTTTTTGTGTTGTGTAAGGAGTGTAGACAACGGCGATCTGTTGCAGATTTTTTTTAATGCTTTCCTTCTGGCCTCAGGCCTCACATCTGCCTCAGCTGGATCAAATCTCTTACCCTTATCAACTGTCCCCCTCCATCCATCTTTTTTTCTGTCCGTCTGTTTCTTTCTTCCTTTCTTTCTTTTATTTTGTAATTGTTTTGGCCTCATCTCCAATATGAGATTTCTTCACCTCTATGATAAATAATGGTGACTTCTAACTGTAAGAATGCAATAAACAGATGACAGATCTATTCAAATACAAGCATTATTATTTGGTCATTTTATTGTTATGAAATGATGTAAGTCATCTGCAGCGGCCTTCAGTTTCCATTTAAGCTAAATCACTTTGGGGAAATTTGTAACTGATGTGTTTGACAAACCTTGACCGCATCAAAAATTATTTTGAATTAATGGGTGGAGTTCCAGAGGGAATAACTTTAATTTGTCACTAAACACTATGTGCATGCAAACCTGTAATCATGCCAAGGAAAGTAGTGAGATCATATTTCTATCATTCAGAAAAATATATGTATTAGACAGAGAATTTTTATAACCTTTTGCATTCCCCTTTCTACAGCTGAACATTGTGTTTTAATGGCTTGAGCATTCTACCCTTTTGCTCATCATTTCCTTATATCCTTATTCTTCATCAGGTTTATAAAATGTCTAGGACTGCAACGATTAATCAGATTAATCATTATAAATCTATTATTCAAAAATTCCACTAATTTAGTAATTTATTAATTGTTAACTGCAGCATATAGACCATTTTCTAAAAGGAGGACAATTTTCACATGTTGATGTTAGAAGTATTATTTGCAGATGCATCAAATAACCAGCATGTACACTACAGTAATGCTACGTTTTTGCATTTTAGGCAATAAAATGTTTATTTTCTTATTCAAAAAGAAAGTGAATTGCTTATTTGCATCTTATAATGCATGCCTACTTGTATAAAAAAGACTTAAATGAAACATCTGCAAAATGTTCCATTTTTTTTCCATCTGACTAATCGTCAAATTAATCGAAAGAATAACCAAATACTAAAGTAACTGTTAGTTCCAGCCCTAATGTCAAGCAGTAAAGTAATTATATATACATAGATTGAGAAGAAAATTAGCTCAGAAACATGTTGCAACAATGAAAATCAAGCAGCAACAATGAAAATCTACTGGCTTTACTATGGAGACAATGGAGAAGACAGGATTGAACAAAAGGTTAAAAACACCATAATTCACACTCCTCCTTCTATAATTAAACTGTCATTTTTAGGAGTCTGCTGAGATATAAGGTGTGTTTGCTTTGATGTGGCATCAACATACACTCTATCATTTTGACCCCAGCACTGTAATACCCTGCTGACCGCTGTTACTATATTATAACTTCTGTGAGCTTTGTTTTGCGTGTGGCCGTCACCTCAGATCTCACTAGGTGGTAACTGCACCATAGGTGGGTTGACTGGATGGTGCCTGAGTTGATACACAGGCAGTATTTATATTTCATGTTTCTAGCCTTGGTTCACAAGAGAAAGTGCCTAAGCTTTATTTACAGTACACCTATAAGAACAGAGTTTGTGTCTGAATGAAAGATCTTGATGAGAGCATCTCTTATTCAAACCATATGTGAAGTGTAAAGAGATGATTTTCCTGTTACGGAGAGTTCAAGCTGCACTCATCCTGAAGGGCAGTGCCACCCACCACAGGAATTTGTTATTTTTGTCCATGGTTGTTAGATTTGTGAATATGTGCCACTGTTTCATGTAACTAAGAATGAGAGACAAAAACCTCAAATTTGTGCTCCTATGAAACTGATGCTGACTTTTTAACCACAAGATACCAAAGTGAATAAATGCACCAAAGAGATTGTTTTTTTTTTTTACTTTCAGAAAAAATACCTACTTAATTGACTTGAGAATTTGTGTTCAAAATGCCTTTGACTTTTTTGTTGCTGCATAAATTACAAGCCTGCTTCAAAAATGTTTGAAAGTGACAGATTTTCTGCCTAATCTCCTTTGTCTGTTATTATTATTTAGTGAAAGATGGCACCACAAACCTGCTGCTTGGTAACCACAACAACATGCTGCTGGTCTACCAGGACGTCACGCTGAAGTGGGCAGCCCAGCTTCCCCTTGTCCCCGTGGCTGTTCGTGTCGCCAATCTCCCGTGAGTTCCCCCTCCAGTAAAACAGCACATCTGGGACTGATGTGTGATGCACAGAGCAATACTCATCCATGTAGACCGTATCTTGTATTCTACAATTGTGCGGCTCATGGTGGCAGGATGTTGGAGTTGCTGTATGTTATCTTAGATTTGTTCTTTTAGTTGACTTTTGTTCGTAATATTTTGGCAAAGTGTCGTTGATGCTGTGCAGGTGGAATAATTTTTGCTCAAATGTTTAAATTTTTTGGCAATTCTTATGATGTGACTGTGGCAATAAGGTATTATTTTTACATCTTGGAGAAGCTGATTAGGATCTCAAGCGCTCAAATATTATGACCCCAAATCTCAATAGTTTAAAAAGAAGCCAAAAAAAGGTTTAAAGAGTAGCAGCCAAAGTAAATTAGGTGAATTAACAGTTTTGGCCAAAAACTGATGGAGTCATTCAGGACATGTTTATGGGGAATATCATTCCTACTAATTGGAAATTGAACTGTTGGCATGTATTCATGAGATTGCCATACATCAACAGTCTTTAGTCAGATGGATGTTCAGATTTGTTGCAAGACTGACGACCGCATTCAATTTCCCTTTGGGATAAATGAAGTATTTTTGAATTTTTATTTGATTTAAATCTTATTGTCATCTAGTAAATAGTACTGTCACACACAGGTAAAAATCCCTGAAGTAAATTGATCTTTTATCACAGTAGCATAGTATTATACAGGAAAATTGGTAAAAGTTGAATGAAATCATATTATGATTTCATTCAAATCATAATTTGAATGAAAGTTTAGTTCTTAAGCTGAATGTTTAGGTGTTTTGAGTCAATGCACTACATGAATGCTACATTTTTGCATTTTAGGCAATAAAATGTATATTTTATTGTCTGAATGACAAAGAGACCCATTCCTCTGAGCCACTATTCAAAATAGGAAAGACAAAACAACCTGTCATCCAATAGGGTTTTGGGTTTTAATTTTGTGAGTCTAAAAATTGTTAATGGAAACAACTCCTTGACTAAACATTTCCACACATTTCCATTTCTTCTGTCAGATAAATACAAAGAAAAAGTTGTTCATATTTTCAGATAAACAAGACTAAATGTGTAAGTTTATCTTGCCACCATATGTAACAAAGAAGATGTCAAGGGAGGTAAAAATCAGTTTAGTTTTAAATAAATGAGCAAAAAATGGAATCTAAGGTCTACCAAATCTCCTTAAAATTGAAGGGTTCTATACAAAGTGTATGCATTTTTCTGAATGTAGCCGTAAATATTCACGAGCACTAATAAACATGCAACAGGTACGCTGATTCAGTTATCAGCTTGTAAAATCCGGTGTCAGACATTTGGCAGGAAATAACCCTGCAATGTGTTCCAGCTGGCCAATCATAGCATAGTGAGGAGGGACCAGTCAGAGCCAATCCTTTGTCTTTTTCCAAACAACTACAATCAAGCTGCAATTTGATACAATTACAACGTAAAGCGCAAACACAGTTGAAAAATGATGTGGTCTCTGATCCAGTGTTTGCGCATGTGTGGTTTAGATGTAGGAGATAGTGTGTGTCTGGGTAGCTGTTTGGTTTAGTTTGAGGCTGTGTTGTTTTTAAGCTTTTGATAGTCAACGGGTCGTTCGGTGTGTCTGTGGGACATGGAGGAGTGTGGGAGAGTTACACAAATACACAGCAAACCATGCAAAACAAACACACACCCCAGCAGCTCACCGTAGATTTACTGTAGGGTTCCAAAATTTCTTCTTGCTTTGCTTCAGGGACACACTGAAGCAAAGCAAGTCTCCCGATTGGTCTCATTTTTTCCATTCTAAACTGTCCACAGACATTCACTTTAGCAAATTTAACAACATACCTAACAATTCATAAAATGTCCCTCAGAGAATAACAACTTATCATGATCATTAATTTCTTTGACACTACACTTCTAGGTGAGGGATATTTAGCTAGGATAAGGTTACCAAACACACTATTTGACAGCTGGTCATAATATTATGCCTGACAGTTGTGTGCCACTAAGTTATGTCTGACGATTTATTTTCCATAAATTCAAATTGCAATAGCATAAAACTTTTACATCTCCTTTCTGCAAAAACCTAAAACAAAAATAAAACGGGTTTGTTTAAAAATTTAAGAAAAAAAAATTCTGAAGGAGAAATTGATCAACGATTTCAGGTAGTCTTCTTTTTTGTGTGTGATTTTTTTTAAGGTCATATAACATTTGCAACTCTAAAGTTTTATTTAGTGGGACTGAACACAAACATGGCTCTTAGGATTATAAAGGTTTCAGACCCCTGCTGGCTTATGAGAACCTATGAGTATGAAACTTCTGCCAAATAAGTAAAATAGGTTCTCCTCATGATAACATTTTGATGTCCAGATTCAGGATCAGAGCAGTGAGGGTGACCACAGAGCTGGATCAAACTAGAATATTAGTGAATAGTAATATTAGGTTGTACTAAATGCTGAGGCTGTTTAATTTGCAGATCATAGTGCTGAATCTGCAAGTCTGGCACACAGTAGCTTGGCACCACGCCACCAGTCATTGTGAACCATCAACATAATGAGGGCGACTTCTTTATGCCATAATCTGTAAAAATTCACTTAATCTTTTCAGTATAAAAAATGTTCTGTTGACAAATGGCCTGTATCCTGGCAGTTGTCTTGATTTCTTGTTCATGTGTCCGTTTATGCAGGATCCACAGTTATTTTCATAAAAATAGCAAAAACAATGTTTTAAAAAAATTGTTGTGTCTACTGCATTTTTCTTATTTTAGTAAAAATGACAGCTCTTGGAGATGTGTGTGTTTTTGCAAATCTTTGTCCTGCCTCTGTAAACATCAATTCCTTCCTGCAGCAGTTAAAGTGAAAGCTTAGTGCTCCCTCAGACACTTTCCTGTGCAGGTGTGCAGCCGGCTGTCTCGTGTGTGTTTATGTGTATTTGTGTGCGGATGAATGTGTTACCTCCTCACTGAACTGCACCAGAAATCACATAAACACATCTGCAACAAGTTACTTCACCGTTTAAGCATTATTGGATCACTCTGCATTTCTTCATACTCTCCATCCTATCATGTATTTCCACATTAAAAAGCCGGCACTGAGCTTCCCCTTCTGTTATCCTTAAGGAATAGAGTTGAACTACAAAGAAAATGTGAAGCACAGGTTCTCAGCAGATGGCAGCAGTTACAGAGTTAACCCTGTCCTCTTTTTTTTTCCTCAGGGAGCTGAAGGGTGTTGTGGTCAGTCTGAGCTCAGACGGACATCTTTTGTGCTCTTACATGGGTACAGACCCCTCCTTTTTCTCAACTCCAAAAGTAGATGCCAGGGAGGCTGATTATGAGCAGATTGATGCTGAGATGAAGAAACTGCAGAAGTTCATCAGAGAGGCTACAAGGACTCAAGGTGAGAGGATACTAGAAAAAGAGCTCTAAAATGCTGTGAATTTGAAGCAACTTCCTGACGAAACTGGACTCTCAATTTCATGGATTCTACTGTACAATAACTAGGATTTAAAGTTTGGCCCACATAGCAGTTTCATTCATTTTCCTCTTCCTTCAACTGTCTTCAAATTCATTTCTTCAGAAGTTTATATATACTAACATTACTATGGCAGTGGTTTTTAATCTTTTTTATGCAAAGTACCACTGGAGTAAATATAAAGATTTCCAAGTACTGCCATTCTGAAAGACATTTTTAGATCCCTACTACCACAGGACTTGGACTTTATACGTTTCTTGTGTTGTGTCATAAAAACAAAGAACAGAAAAAAATCTTTTGAACATACTAGTTGTGCACACAAAGGTGACAATAGAATGGTTAGGTTTATGTGTGGAAACAATTAACAGAAAGTGGGATTTTAACGTGGAAATTTTAGGTTTTTCACCAATCGCAAAAGCCAACCTGCACAGTCTTGAGGCTTCCATAATTTGTGAAACTACTAAATAAGTGTTGCTCAGCATTTCTCTTAAGACTGCAGGTAGTCGCTTCTGTACTATTTTTCTTACATGCGTTTTCCTTTCACTCAGCATTTCTTTTGTATGCTTACGATACTCTGAAAAACCGACTTTTACACTTTGTGTTTATTTTTAAACAGTGTATGTAAATATCTGGTTTCACCCGAAACTGCCAATGTTTTCTCAAAAAATATTTCTCTTTCTTAATTTAATACCTTGCATTTTTGCAAACGCAAGGTATTTAGTGCTTAAACAAACACTAAAACAAGTGTTTATTTAAGACACTTGTTCCAGCTTTTTAAATACATGCCTTTTTTCATAGATATACTCCCCAAATCTGATGCTGTGGATGATCTGTCTGTCAAGGCGACTGTGTCTTCATGCCTCGACACACCATCGGTAAACACACAAGCTCAGATGTTCTTCATGAACTGATTGGCAGATATTTAGATCATAAAGATTTACATGCAGAAGCTTAAATGTATTAATTCGTTCTTTTACAGCAAGCTCTAATCCAAGACATTGATGGTCTGCCTGTACCCTCAGTTACTGTACAGGTAAATTATTTTATTGTTTCTTTGTCTACATACTGTCATAAAGACAAAGTGTCTAATTAGTCTCTGCACATATCTCTTAAGGTCCCATCACAGTGTCTTAAATTGGGCTGAGATCTGGACTTTGACTATGCCATTGCAAAACTTTGATGCTTTTCTTTTTCAGCTGTTCCATGGTAGATTTGCTGCTGTGTTTTGGATCATTGTATTGTTGGTTGGATATCTGATTTTCAGCCAAGCTTCTAGTGTCTGACTGGTGATGTCAGAGGAGTATGTATACCTTAATTAAGAGTTTATGGTTGACTCATCAACTATTTAATGTGCACAAACCCTAATAATTATCCCCTTATCCCTCTGCCAACAGGTAATCGGAAATATTTGTGCTGATTTGTTGTATTTGGTTTGTTGCAGCAAGTAAAATACAATGAAGGAGTAGCTGCAGAGTTATTTAAGACCAACCTTTAAAACATTCAAACACAGATGGAGAAAGAAAAAAAAGATTTAGCATAATGATTTCTTAATGATTGCTTTAAGACACCTCCAGCCTGCTGGCATCAGAAAAAATAAAACATGTCTTTCTAGGTTAACCTTTTGATGTTGTCTTTCTGCAGGTGAAGGTGAAGGCCAACTCTGTGCTACAGTCTGCTAAGCTGTCCATTTGTGTCCAGCCCCCCCTGGCTGTCACTCAGGACCAGTTTGTTTTGGAACCAATGGGTTAGTAAACTGCTCTTCTTATTTTTGTTTGTGTGTGAATGCATGTGTGTGTTTGTGTGTGTGCGTGCAGGATTTATGGCTGTCTTTGCTAGGGTTACTTGCTCAAATATATGTGATGAATGGTCGATTTCTGATTAATTTTCATTAATTTCCTGTGTATTTGTTCTGCCTGTTCCTTATTTCCTCAGATTTAGCTGGAGTTTAAGGGTGTGATAAATAATACATGGATATTGCAGAAAAAAGTCAACTTTTAACAGATGAATGATTTTAAATAAAAGCAACACACATTTCAGCTGTTTGGATGTTTCTTGTTAATGCTGCTTGTGGAGTTCTTTGAACTGAGGAAACTTCACATAATACTCTGTTTGGATTTAAGGACCTATACAATACAGTACTGTGTACTTTCTTTTTTTTTTAGGGAAATAATCCACAGCTTTATGCATCTGGTTTTGTGCAAGATCTTTCTTCATCTGTCGTCCATCATTTATGCTCTTCCATGGGTCCTCTCAGGCTCTGCTTCATGTGTTTTATGTATTGAACATCTCGTCCTACTTCATATTTTGCTCCACACACACCCGCCTGTGTGAATAAGAGGAGTGTGCTAACTTTTATTTGTCTGGCTCTTATCAGTGTTTACACCATGTCTTCTACTGCTGGTCTCTTCCAGGCAGCACTAATGTTGAAGTGAATCACCCAGACTATTTATGCACTCAACCTTTTAACCCTAAACACCAGTACTGTCAGCTCATTAAAACAACATTAGCAATGTCGTAACACAGTGATTGGAGTCTGCTTTAACTGCATCTCATTGCCATTTTTTTTACTTAGTTTTTATATGTGTAATTGCGGAAGCTATTCTAGCTTTTTGTAATGTAGTCCTTATAAGAAAATCTAATTCTAAATCGTTTCTACCTTAGCAGCTACAAACATGTTCCACATCATGAAAGTCTAGGGGAGCTTTTTCTGCTCCAGTGAGGTACTCAGCATACACTGGGAGCAGCTTCAGATGTTGCACACATTTTACAATTGTTGGTTTCTTTGTTGTTGTTTGTGTTTCCACATGTTGAATGCTGATATGCAAAGTATTCAACACTTTTCAGAGGTCTTGATTAGCAAATACAACATGTTCATGCAAACAGTTAAATACTTACAGTGTTGACCTTTTTCTGAACCTTTATACTCTGGTCTACCATTTTACTGTAGACTTAAATTTCTGGACAAATCATGACTGATAGTAACTCATTTATGTTTTATTGTACCTTGGAGCTGATCAGTTTTCTTGGTTCTCAGTGGACCCTATGGATTTAGCATAGGATTTGGGTCAAAAACGTGTTCTGATTTATTTATTTTTTATCCACTTATTACTTTTGCCTTAAAGCACACAGATCACCTACACATGCTACCTGGAAGATGTTGCTCTTGGAGAATGTTTCAATCTTTATTCAGTGCACAGTCCTTGTCAGAACTGGTCGTAAGCCCACTCTCTTGGAAGAGACGCACACCCAACACATGGATTGCATCACAATGCTTCACTGTTTCCACAAACTTCTTTAATGCTCACCTTTCCTTCACCAAGTGATTTTCCAGATCTCCCAAACAATCAAAAGATTAATAGGACAATCTTCTGCAGTTAAAACTTGGACTTCCTGCAAAATTTCTGTCTGTTCCTGATATTTTTTTTATTTTTTGTGGTCAGAAGTGAACATTGTACAAAAGCATTTCCGTCAATGTCACCCACCTGCTGCAAACTTGGAGCTAGTCCTGGACTGGTGACCGTACAATCCTGAAAAGTCCTGGTGGATTCTAACCTGTATTTCCATCGATCATATAAATGAGCAAATTGGAATTACAAAAATCAATTAGCTTATTGAAAACACTGCAACTTTGAAAAGCCTGTGGTTTTTTGGCCGTATCGAAATGAGTGAAGTTAGCAAAACTGCAATGGAAACATCTTTATTGCACCACACAAGTCATGTGGTCAACAACCAGACGTTACTGTTGGTGGAAAAGACAAAGATGACAGGAAGTGGTCGGAGGATTATGGATGTTTTTTAATGATTTTTTGCATGAACAAACGTATTCACCTGCAATTTTAGTTGCAATTCTTATTTAATGGAAACTCTACAATTGCAAAGTTGTTTTTTTTGTTTTTTTTACATTAGCAGAAGATTGACAAAGTTTTGTGCACATTTGTAATGGAAACATAGTTCTAGACACTATTGGACATCCTGAACCGTTATTTACTGCAATTAAACCATTCTGTAAAACCATGTGATAATTTGGAGTACTTGGTGCAAACAATTAACTTTGATGTCGTGCCTTCATTAAAATTAAATGTTACTTTATGTAACAACAAAAGGCCATTTCTTCAACTATTGTTCTAATTTAATTTATAGAGTAATGTAATTTGACTCCTTCTCAGCTCATTTGTACATTTGACTATTCTGAAATGAACGTTGCACCTGATTTCATGGTTTCACAAAAATTGTATAGTTTCAGTAATAATTTAAACTTCTGATTGTCTTTGCAATAAATGATTATGAAGCTGGAGGTGATTGCATTTTAATGAGTCATACCCAAGCCTCACTGCTACTAATAAACACCTCTATAAACTATAGAAAAACCCTGTAATTTGTCTTCAGTCATATTTTTAAATCTTGAATTAACTCAGTAGAACATTGTTTTTATGGCAGTGCATCAATAAAACCTATATAAGGAGAATCATCTTTCCATGGAGAGAAAGATATGTCATAAGTGATGACATACTGGTGCTCTGTGTGTCAGGAGGTTTTGTTGTCTGTTAAAACAAATTTACACCAGTGACTCCGCCTAAGAAATAATAAACCAAATGTAGCAACTCCCTAAAATAGGAAAAAGCAGCCAAGCATGAATAATCTGCTCCTTGCTTGGTTTGTACAAACACATCCTGGCCACAGTAGATTTATCTGGACTGAAGCTTTGAATAAAATGGTGTTACCTTATCAATCTTAGCTTGTTCTCTTTTAATCTGCACACTTGTCATAATGAAAGAGTAAATCTCACTCAAGATTATGAGGTCACATGTCAAGTGAAAGTCCACAGGTTATACTAACACAGTGAACCATGTTGGCAGCTATTTTGTGAAGCCATGTACTCAGGCATAAAAGCTGGATTACTAACAGAAAATTCCCCTTTTATTGTAATTCCAAAACTGCTCCTGACGTGCGCTGAAACCCTCATCCATCACAGAGGAGCAGACACCAAGCTCTTTGAGAAGGACCAGAGTGGATTGTGAATTTATGATTTCAAGATGTGAGAAGCATTCGCAGTCGGTTGGAGGACCATCCATTTATTCTAAGTCCTGACTCAAAGTGACCACTGCTTACCTATGATTCATGATCCATGCATTCAGAAATGAAAAGCATCTTACCACAGTCGATTCTTATCTGTGCATATGCTGTACATGACCTCTCCAGCTGTTAATGCAAGCATGATGCTCCGGCTGCACAGCATGGTACATTCCCCATGAATTTTAGTTTTTTGGTTTTTTTTCCATTTACATGTATTCCTTTAACATACTTAATTTGTAATGTAATTTTTTTTTCCTTTTTTTAATTTTATTCACATATTCTCTTTTTTTACAGTAGGCAGATGAGAAATTAAGAATTTTAAGAGCTTTGACAATAATATTCCATAGCATAAGAAAACCTACATAAAACATAGAAACAGTAACAATGTGTAGAGCAAGTGGAAGAGATGTTTGCTGCCACACAAATATAATCCGCAACCTAAAGTAAAACTTGGTTTCTTTGTTAGAGTAAACAATTAAAGATCTGCCAGCAAAACTCAAAGTAAGTCAAAAATAAATTCCCCCAAAAAAACATTCCATGAAGGGAAAACTGGTGGATGTTTCTGGTGGGTTTAGTTGCTCTAAGCTTTTCTGTTTTGGCACCAGCTCTTCAAGTTTCACTGTTTATATGGAAGATCAGAGGGTACCAGTCATTATCCCGTCACATTTACACCACCAAAGAGATGCTTTGTTTATATGAGTTTAGGTAGCATTCAAGCTGGTCAAACCCAGAAGCCTCTGAAAGGCATACATTCAAGGAAGAACAATTACACACACAAGCACTCACAGGGATATCGAATTTTTTGCAGATGCTTATCCATGGCTGCTTAAATGCATTCACATGACACGTGTCATTATAGCGAGCTAAGAAAATGTCGAATATCTACAGTAAAATAGTGTTGCTTGTTTTTGTCATGCTTTTTTATTTTTACTAACAGAAATCAACCATTGAAATGCTTCTGGCCATAGAACATAATTCACAAACACACATTCAGGTATAGCATTGCAGAAAGTTTTCTATCGACTTTTATCCATTTTGGAGACTTTGTTCATCCCTAAGCACTAATTCTGCTTGCCCAACATTAATACCATCATACAAATGAAATACAGCCCTGTTTTAATCCAGTGGTAGTCTAAATCTATCAGTGCATTAAGAATTAGTGCACCCATTTATCACATGCCTATTTGCACAGAAGGAAACCACTTTAATTCATTTTCTGGTGGAAGATCAAAGCAGCAGCACTGTCTACCAGAACTGGTTGATGTGACTGAAATGAAAATCCCAATTTATCTTAAGTATCCACAGTTTCCAATGTTTTGGACTGTTTGTTCTTTAAAGAAGAACATTGGGATTTGTAGATAATCTTTTTAGTTTAGATCTCCGACATAGAAATATTCTTTCCATTTCAGTTTTTTTAAATTTTTTTTATTTTGTTCAGAACTAGATAGTTAAGCCCAACATTATTCATACCCCTGGCAGATTTACTTTTAAAGTAAATTTTAATTTCACCAACTTTTGATTTCAAGTAGTCCAGTCAGAGTCCAGACATAAATCTAATTGAGGAAGGAGCTACATATTAGGGTGATTGCGTGGAGGTCTTCCAACCTCAAAGATTTGATCCTTATTATGTAAGAAGCTGCTCAGTGATTAAAGGAAATGTTTAGTTGTTGT